ATATTCAGATGTCGCGTCGGCAGGGAAGAAAGAAGGCTTTCTAAGCTAAGGAAGCTTTGTAACTTACACATGTTTACACTCTGATACCGGTCTATAACCGCCCCGAGGTCCTGCGACTTTCTTGACCTTCTATTTTTTCAAACGATTATCGATATCGAACGTAAAGGCAGCTAGCTCCGGAAAACAATACTTTCAGTCAAGAAAGAGCTTCAGTTAGTGGGTTTATACACCAAGAAAAGTGAGCGAAGTAAAGGAAGAGAGGGATCTGGGGTAAAGGCCATCTCTCGAGGCTCCTCTCTTTTTTCTCCTTCCGCTTCCTAACTTCACGCAAGCTTTCTTCACAAGAGCAAGAAAACTGATTTACAGGCAAGTGCAATGAAATGCTGCGCAATGAAAAGCGTTGTGATGTGTTTATTTTGTGGAAAATTGTTGCGTTATAAAAGAATTTTATTAAGTGTAGATGAACGAATTATGGTGCTTAAAATACGTTTTGCGGTGACGGTGTTTCGTTGACTTTTCATGCGGTGATGCGGTGTTCGTTAACTTTTTTTTGCGGTGTTGCGGTGTTCAGAACCCCCCAATGTCCCCCTCAAGGAAGTCTTGCTTTACCGTGAGTGTATCTAAATTTGCAGACTGAATCACAAAAGTACGGAAAATTGGGCGATTTCTGTGTAGTTATGGTTTACATCGACATCGTAGTGCAAGACTAGTGTTGTTGTGCGAAGAACATCGTTACGTGTTTATGGACCTTTTCACGAATTCGACGAGATGGCGTGAGGAAGGAGCGATAATCCATCTAAAATGCACTATAATCGAGAGATGCATCAGCGGTTTAAAGAATCAAAGATTCAAGTTGTGACGTTACCATTGAAGGGCCACAAGGCAAACCAAACAAAGTTATTTCAAGCTGTTATGCATGAAAATACGAGAAAATGGCCCGCTCCTGGTAGATGAGTCGAGACACAAGTTCGGAAACTACCCTAAAAGCACAAATAGCAGTGTCTGAGGTTCTTGGCCGACAACGCTTTAACACAGCAGTATTTTCAATCAATCAACTGTAGCTTGTACGAAGCGCGAGCTAAAGGCAGCCATCTTCAAAACAGGCGGAAGACCGATCTAGCGGCAAGGAAAGTTTAAAGACTTACAAGAAGGTGCGTTTCTGAGGACAGCATCATATTTCGGTGCCAAATAAGTTGTAAGCCTTTCTCATGCTTTCTTGTCAAAATCTTGACAAAAATTCCACCAGTCCGTGAACGGTTTCTTCGCAAAACCAACACTTCTAATATGACCCTTTTTTCTCAGAAATCATGTGATTTTGAATACTTCTGTGACTCAGTTACAATTTGGACAAGGTGTCCAAGGGCGGGTCTCCAAGGTGTAACGTAAGCCTTTCTCAAGGGATTCATATAAAAATAAGTTTCCACGTAAGGAATTTAGTAAAGTTTAAGACAATCACAAAATTATTTCTGTTACTTTTTTGTTTTAACTTTTTGTTGTAAAAGGTCCATCCAGAACAGTTTTGTCCAGCGTACTACAATGTTTAGAGAGGAAGCCACATCAGCCTTAGCTGGTTTTCATGCAGGTCCTCTATCCTGGTCGAATTGGAATTTGGAGATGACGGTTTTTGTGGAGGGAGGAAAACCGAAGAACCCGGAGAAAAACCCTCGGAGCAAAGTAAATACCAACGACAAACTTAACCCATATATGGCACCGGGCCTGAATCGAAGCCGGGCCACATTGGTGGGAGGCGAGCGCTCTCACCACTGCGCCATCCCTGCTCCCCAGTAGACGGATCGAAACTTACTAGAAACAACCAATAACTTTACACGGGTCTTACAGTCAATACCATCATGGCTATTAACTGACCAATCACTTTCGACAGACCAGACTTATAACACCATCGACTGACAAACACTATTCACTTGACTCTGAAGATGACTGCTGCTCAGGTTGTCGAAACGTCAGCTACCAACAACAGTTCTGTACCCTCACCCGGATGATCACACTATACGAACTACTGATTCTCCTTAAACCATTCACTAGGCTACACAAAATTATTTGTTAAATTAAAGAACATGCATGGGAACGCTATTACAGAGAATGTATGGGCATGTTGAACATAATTGCGAATTACTCAGCTACAAATAATTCAATCCAAATAGTGTAAAGTTACTGATGCAGAGGTGATGTCTGCTAAATTTCAGATCTAAGCTCAAATATTCAAGCTGGAAAAATTACTTCTTTGCAGTTACAGTATAACTTCAGGTCGGCAATTTTCTTCAAATTTGGATTTTTGGGTCAAAGTAGTGGTCGAAGAATAATCTTTAATTTCTGAAAAAAAATTTAGAAAAAGACTTAATATTCGCGGAGAAATGGCGGTTTTACGTTTTCGCCGGAAATCAAAGCTTGCCTCTTGATTGACAGCCCTGTGGCGCGTATGCAATCAACCGAGACGATTTTCGCGGGAATTACCTCTACGGATGTCACGAATTGACTTCTTAGTTCATCAACATTGTTGTTCTGACTACCAAGCATTTTTGGTCTTAGGTGTAATTCTATTAACTTATAAGTAAACATAGACCACGTTAAAAATCTTGGACTAGTCCGAAAAAGCGAAAACAGCGAAGAACAAATGAAAATACATCAATGAGTGAAAAAGCGAAAGTTCGCCACGCGGGTGAAGCTATAGCTATCGTATAAGGTTCTGTAAAAATTTGGGAACTTAACAGCAATAACAGGGATGGATGTTGACAGACTCTTCTGATGAGTTCGATATCGACGAATCGTTGGACTCATTGAGACCCATTGAAATATTATCCCTGCGCAGTTGATCCGCCGCGCATTCTTTTATTTGTTTTCTTCGCCCAGCCAATCTAGCGTTCGTCTCCTTTTTCGTCTTCCCAATTTTGCCAGAGTGACCAGCTTCAAGAAAAACCGAGCTACAGAAAAATTATCTCTCCGCCTTTGGCGCCTTAAGCGCATTGCGGAACACAAGGGTTTTTGGAGATTCGCGCTTAAATTTCACCAGGAGATTTACGGAGGTAATTTTTAAATCGGGCGCTAGCATTTAGAGGTCGTGAAAAATTCAGTAATTCATTTTTCTCAAAATTCTTGGTATAGTTTGATAGCCAGCTCTAAAAGCTTTAATTTGATATAGGGGTTTAGGTATCTACCGCTTAATCTGCACTCGCTACATCGCTTGCACGCGAGACACCCCTCCTGACGGTATAGGGTAACCTTAATTAATGAGCATGTAAGAAAACGCCATTACAGAAAATGTATGGGCACGCTGCACATAATTGCGAATTTCTTGGCTATTATTTAACGAAACCAAATAAAAAATCAAAGTTCTCTATGAGTAAACCCGTAGATTTCACAGTGAATGATGATTGACATGAGCTAACCTTTTCATGAAATGAAATTAGTCTTTTCATGAAAAAAGAAAAAAAATTGGTCCGCATTGCGGACATGTGTGGCTTATGGGTTACTCTAGTTTTTATACGAGTTACGTTATTGGCTTCTGGCAATACTCGTTACAGCAGATGCACTAGATGAACTGCATTGCTCCGATGGATTTTCACTCTCAGCCTGTTCGCACGCTTCATTTTTTTTTTTTTTTT